ATTTGCTCCAGAAGGCCCCCGCGTTCGTCTCCCACCCTGCCCTTGTGCTCACTGCAGGGAGCGACTTGCCCCTCTCCGGGGCTCACATCACAGGCTGGGAGCATCTGCTCTTCCAGCCCAGGCAGAGGCTGGGGGTGGCCCGGCTGCCTCCTGGGCGGGGGAGCCGCCCCTCGGCCTCTTCGCCTTCTGTCTTGGCTGGTAATTTTATCCCGTGAAGACTCTTTTCCCCCTTCTCTCTTGCTCTCTCTGTTTTCTGGACCCTGCTCCATTTGAGCTCATTGTATTACTCCTGTCGTCCTGATTAGCGCTGTCTGCCTCAGGGCGCACCCACCTGAAGCTGGGATTAAGGATCAGAGGCCGGCCAAATGGAGCAGCCCAGGCTGCTCCTTCCGAGCCTGTAAACACCCCTTAGGTCTCTCTCTTGACCCATCTGCTGCTTCCTTACTTGAGTCAGATGCTCTGTCTACTAATTAGGCATCAACTGTCCATCAGGCGCCAAGCTAGGCACCAGCCAATGCCTCCCAGGCCCTCAGGAGAACCCCACCTACCCACTGCCCCTCCTCGCCACTGTACTCGGGGACCCTGCCCTTCTCCTGTTGCCTGGATGGCCATTGACTCCCATGGGACACTCCCAGGACCCAACAAACCAGGCAGCTTCTGACCACTGGGCCTTCACTCAAGCTGAGACCACCGCCTGAACTAGCCTTCCTCTTCGTGAGGTCAGCTCTTCCAGTTTAAGATCAGCCGATGGTTCTCAACCTTCAGTGTGCATCAAAGTCACCTGGAAGGTATTTCAACAGCCCGTGCCCTGGCTCCACCTCAAAGGTTTCACTTCAGATGGTCCAGGGACATGTGGGCAAGGGTGTTTCTCTGTAGAAACACCCAAGTATTTCTGAAGGAAACCCCTGTGCTAAGGGGCATTCGTTCTCAGATGGTTGGATCAAGCACCCCTGTGGGTCTCTGGCAAAGCCTAGTCCATAGCAACAAAAATATGGACCATAATTATAGTCAGGCAGCGGATTGAGGCTGGAGCTCTATGTAAAATGCCTCCCTTCCTCACCACGGCCTTATGTGAGGTGGGTGGGGGCATAAACCCCCTCAGCCACTGAGGCGCAGACAGGTGGAGGGCACTGCAGCTTTCTATGCGTGTGTGTGCTCTCACTAGACCATGGGATTTTTTCCAGGCAAGGACTGTTTTAAACTTCTTTTCATCCTTGCAGTGGGTTCAACGGTGGTCCCCCCAAAAATACGTTCATCCTGAACCTCAGAATGGGGCTTTGTCAGGTCTTAGCAGATGTAATTACAATAAGGATCTCCAGATGGGTTTATCCTGGGCTAGTGTGGGTCCTGAATCCAAGACAAATCCTCATTAGAGAAAGGGACACACAGGTGAAGGGAAAGGCAGAGATTCGAGTGACATGTCTATAAGCCAGGAACAGCACCCGAGCTAGAAGACGTGGAAAAGATTCTCCCTCAGAGGCTCCGGGAGGGACTGCACCTGTCAGCATGTTGATTTCAGACTTCTGGTCTCCAGAATAGTGAGGCAATCTATTTCTACTGTTGCAAACCACCCAGTTTGTGATGATTTGTTATGGCAACACTAAGAAACTAAAACAATCCCCCAGCATCCATCATGATGCTTCCCAAGAGGTTCTCAGCACGTTCTTGCTGAACGAATGAATGAATGGTCATGCCCAGTGCATTCCTGCTCAGAGCCAGGCTCACTATCCCAATTCTTCTGTCGAGGGAGGAACAGCTCCAGGGCCTTAAGGGACCTGCTTATGGGGACACAGAAGCAGGAGGCAGGGTTTGACCCAAGCATGGCTCTGAGATCCCAGCGGCCATTCCCCCAGAACACACCCAGGCAAATATGAAGACAAGGTCAGACCTGAGGCTCTAACCCCTGAGGCTACACACACATCTTCTCAGTTTGGGGCCAGGATGTTAAAGGCCAGCCCATGTTTCCTAATTTCTTGCTGAGATCAAGGGTTTCAGGCTGCCTTATTGGCTTCTGAGGGGTTTGCTGGTGCACTTTGTCCCTGCTGCTGGAATGGGGGTCAGGGTGGGGACGAGTTAGATCTCCACTTCCCTTTCTGTAAGATCAGTCCCACTGTGTCTGGTTCACACACCAAAATTTCCCATACACTATTATTTGGGAGAAAACAAAAATAAGGAGTTTGCATTGACATAAATAATTGAGATGTCTTCCAGGAAGGTCCTACATCCTCTGAACTGGGTGCAGAAAGGAAAGCCTTAAGAACAGTGTCAAGATGCCCTTCCTGTGGTCTGCTGGCCTGCCATTCCCAGTGCAGACTGCAGGCCAACCAGGGTTGAAAATCTGGAGACAACAGATGCTGGAGAGGATGTGGAGACATAGGAACACTTTTACACTGTTATTGTAATCTTCCTCCCAATGCCAACCATCACAGTCACACAGAATAAGACTCAGGCAATGCCCTTATTCAGAGCCAACCTCTGTTCCTTTAGACTGTGCCCATGGCCCACCTGGGGTTCCTCTTCCTCCACCACTCATTCCTTTCCTGTGACTACATTCTGGATGTTCCCATTGTCTTGCCAGAAAAAGGAGATGTTAATGCCTACCAGTCAGGCTAATGTCAGGGTTAAATGAGTCAGAGATGAATGTGTGAGGGTGATGAAGCGTTTTCTGGCCTGGTCCCTCTCTGCTAACTAATCCTGCCGTCCTTGATCTCACCCACTAACTTCCGTATGTGCACCACGTGCTTGGCTCGGGACTTGATGCCTGGACACTGGGGTGCACACAGCTATGTGACCCCTGCCCTCCTGAGCTAGCAGACAGAAAGACAGGCAATGCCCCACAGAGGCACCTCATGGAGAGTTCTAATGACAGCCGGCATAAGCACAGGGAAAAAGCCACAACATCTCTAAAGGGGAGACTGACCCAGCCTGGGGGGATCTTAAAGGATTCCCTAGTCCTGTAAAAGCAGAACAAATATAGGTGATGGGGAGGAAGGCAGCAAATCACACTACCATGTGTGTACCTATGCAACAATCTTGCATGTTCTTCACATGTACCCCAAAACCTAAAATGCAATTAAAAAAATAAAATTAAAAAGCAGAACAAATAATTGAAGAATAAGAAAAAGCTAATTAGGAGAAATGAGTGTGGGTTATATTCCTGGCAGAAAGTTCAGGGTAAGCAAAGGCCCTGCCACCTCGTGATGCTTCAGGAAGGAAACAGAAGAATGATGAGGTTGAGCATAAAGTGGGAGGGCAAGGGTGGCATGACTGAGGCCAGAGGAGGGTGGAGGCTGTGCGGGGAGGTCTCCATCCTCGGTGCCGGGAAAGCCCATGGAAGCCTTTGAGGCTGCGAATGTTAACATAATCTAGATCTGTATATAAATTAATCATTACAAATATGATTAAAGCCTCTGATTTACCCCTTTCTCAAACATTCCTTCCCTTTCTTTCCTCAAAGTCAACAAGTTGCCATTTTAAATTTATTTTATTCTTCTCATATAAATTGTATACTTGTCTTTATTATCCATAATAATAATGTATGCTATTTTGCTTAACGTTAAACTGTATATTGCATAATATACAACATCTAACATATGACCACTCTCATCCTGTTTTTTTCTAAACACATCATTTTCAGATTTTTATCATGTGGTTACATGGATCTCTTCCTCATTCATTTTAACTCCTATATGGTATTTGAAGGTGTGACTTTATAACAATTTTAATATATTCTCCTGTTGTTATTTAGGTTTCTATTTTCTGCCATTACAAACTCTATCAGAATGAAAATTCTTACCCTTCACTCCCTACATGTACGGAGTTTCTCTAGGGTGTGATGCTAGAAGTGGAATTGCTGGGTCACAGAATAATGAACGTCTCCTGTCTAACTAGATATTGCCATTTATTTTCTGATGTATTTTGTACCAATTGATATTCCCCCAACTGTGTCTAAGAGGTCCTACTTACGTATATTCTTGCCAAGCCTTAGTATTATTACCTTGTTTTATTTTTCAAATGTTCCATTCTTATGTTACTTGTTCCCATGATGTATAGTTAGGTTGTACATCTTCTGCTGTCTTAGATTGTCCAGATTCTCTCTTTGCTGAATTGCTTATTTATATAGTTTGTCAATTTTTTCTCTGTGGCTGCCTATATTTTCCTTATTGTCTTGAAGGTTTTTGTAGATATTTGTAGATATTCTGGACAATGATGTTTTCTGGACTATATTCATTGTTCGAAAAGTTCAACTTCTATAGTGTCATTAATAAATTTAGTAAAAGATATTTGTATCTTGTGTCCTTTTATTTTGAGATATTTGTATCTGATATTTAAAAGAACTCTTGACTAACTTAAGAAGATAGAGGTATTTCTTCATTTTTTTTCTGAGTTTTTGTTTTTATACTGAAATATTTAATCCACTTAGAGTACACTTTTATGAATGATGTGAGGTGGATTTCTAATTCTCTCTTATTCTGGAAGTGAAAGCAATTTTCCTGCACTGTTCATCAAACAGTCCATCATTTCCCAATTATGGCAGCGACAAATAAACTATCATTAAATCTGACTTCTCTTCTTCTGGAGCAAGCTTAACTTCTTCCCCCTAGTCACCCTTGGAGTGTGATGGTGCCGTATGACTGAGTTCTAGATAATAGAAAATGAGGAGCATGCAATGAACACTTCCAAGGCTGGCCGCATAGGAGGTTTCTGAAAGGGGAACCCCACACTTCTCTTCCATTAGCTTGAGTTGGTGGATCAAGGGTGGACAGGGACACCATATGTGGAAAGCACTGGAACCACAAGATTGGAAGTGTGTGTTATGGTCTGAATCTTTGTGTCCCCTCAAAACGCATAGGTTTAAATTCTAACCTCCAAGGTGATGGTGTTAGTAGGTGGGGCCTGTGAGAAGTGATTACATCATGGAGGCGGAGCCCTCATGAATGAGATTAAAGCTTCTATAAAGGAAGCCCCAGAGAGCTGCCTTACCCCTTCCACCCTGTGAGGACACAGCATGAAGGTGCCATCTATGAGGAGCAGGCCTTAGCCAGACACCGAATCTACTGGCACCTTGCTCTTGAACTTCCAGCCTTCAGAAGTGTGAGAACTTGATTTCTTTTATTTATAGTTTTCGTTGCAGCAGCGTAAGGCTAAAACTAAGACAGCTCAGGTTCTTGGATTACAGCTTTTAGGAGAGGCACGTGTCGATCAGGGATTCTTATGTGGTAGAAGTAACCTTCTATTGTGTTAGAAAGTATTATGGTGTTTATCTGGTACAGCAGCTGGCATTTTCTAAAATAATGTACTTGCTAATCCCTATTACTCCCTCTGTCATAAATCAAATTTGCAGATGTGCATAGGTAAGATTCTGGATTTTCTACTCTGGTTTCATTGGTCTCTCTGTACTGATCATCACTCTCTCACTTATTGATATAATTTTACCTTAAAAATTCATGTCTGAAAATCTAAGTCCCACCACATTGATTTTTAAAATTGTGTTGGCTTTTTTCCTATCATGTGAATTTTGGAATGAGTTGCTATGGTCCAAAAAATTTCTATTGGGGTTTTGATTGAAATGACATTGGTTTTATAAACTAAATTAGATAGAATCAAAAGCTAAACATCATTGCATCATTACAACAGGAAATGGTGTCTTTGTGCGTATACATAAACATGTATATGTTTATATGGACACACACATACACACACACAGAGAGTTAAGGTATGAAAACAACAATTCCTGAAGAATTCTTGAAAAATTGTAGTAAGATTTCTTACATGATATTTTCTATTTTTGTTGCTTTCTAAATGGTATATATAATTATTATTGGTTTTTATAGACATGAAGTCTCACTATATTGCCCAGGCTAGTTTTAAACTCCTGGGCTCACGTGATCCTTCCACCTCAGCCTCCCAATGTGTTAGGATGATAGTAAATGATATATTTTTAAAAAACATTTTCTAATCATGGCTTTTTTATAGAAATGTAATTCATTGAATAAAATGACATGTATCTGGCCACCTTGATGAAATCATCTTATGCATTTTGTTAATAATGACAGTTTGATCTCTTCTCTTATACTCTTTATGCTCTTATTACTGCATTTCCTGTTCTAGCTAATCCAACTCAGTGTTGGACTGAGCAGTGACATGGGGGTCACATGGCTTTTATTTAACTATTGTTGGAATGTAAATGTTTCATGAGTAAGTAAGCTGTGTAGTTTCTGGAAATTAACAGAGTTATTTTCAGTTTCCAATTGCTAGCAGTTCTTTTAATTACAGATGGGTTTTGGATCTCGTCAGTCGCTCTATATTAATTGATTAGTTATATTTCTTTATTCTGCTAATATGGTGAAAAGCATTCGTCTTCTAATAAAAATGACCCTTACATTTCTACATTAACCCAAATTGATCATTTTACATATTGCTTAATTCAGTTTGTAGTATTTTATTTCAGATTATTTAGTTTATATTCATTTATATTTATAAATAAAATTGCCCTTCATTTTCTTTTTTCACAGTTTCCTTCTCTAGTTTTGGTGTCAAAGTTATTTCAGACCCATAAGGTGAAGTGTAAAGATTCTCTCACTGCTGTTGATCAGCTGGAAGAAAGCAGACATTAAATATTTCTTATTTGTTGGAACTTGCAGGTAAAATCTATTCAGGTTTTAAAAACATTTCTTTCTTTTTTAAATGATAATCATTAAAAAGTGATTCAATGTATAGAGTTCTACTTGGATTTTCTAACTGTCCACATAGAGTGTTTTGTTAATTAGATATTCCCAGGATTCTTTTTCGATTTATATGCTTTTAAAATATACAGCATGAAGCTGTTCATAGTTTCCTCCTATATTTTCAGTCTCTTCTCTATCTGCAATTATGTCATATTACTGATTTCTGTTTTTACTAATTCCTTCTCTATATGCAGATCTTTCATATTACTAATTCCTGCTTTTTTTCTTTTAATTTTTAATTTCTTTCTCTTCCCTTGAGCTATAGTCACTGGATATGACTATAGTATTTTTTTGGCAAAAAGCTGGGTTTTGGTTTTATTTATTGTTTCTGTTAGGTTTATTATTTCTACATCTATTTTAACTATTCTATCTTTCTTCATTTAAGGTTTACTTTTATGTTCTTACTGAAAAAATCTTTATTTGTATCATTGAGTCATTGCTTTTGTTATTTTTTAATAAGGGCAATTAAGACAATTTCTCCTCAAATCTTGCTTTCACGTCATCTCATGCTTTTGATTATAATATATTCATTATAATTCCATTCTAGTTATTTTCAGGCTTTTATTGTGATTCATACTTTTATGTTTAGGTTATGTTTAGGGCTCTTTATATTTACAAATGTACATGTACTACTCATGTTTCATCAGGAGAACAGAACCATAGTATATATTTCAAAAGGGAATTTAGCATGAGTAATTAATTACAACCGAATGGGAAAATTAAAATGCAAAAAGCAAACACTACTGTAACTCTGAAATAATAACTTTAGAGGTAGCTGCCTAATATGGTTTGGCTATGTCCTCACCCAAATGCTGTCTTGAATTCCCACATGTCATGGGGGAGACCCAGTGGGAAGTAATTGAATCATGGGAGTGGGTCTTTCCCACGTTGTTTGCGTGATAGTCAATGTCTCACAAGATCTACTGGTTTAAAAAGGGGAGTTTCTCTGCACACACTCTTTTCTTGACTGCTGCCTTTGTGAGGCATGCCTTTCACCTTCCACCATGATCGTGAGGCCTCCTCGGGCATGTGGAACTGTAAGTTCAGTGAATCTTTCTTTTGTAAATTGTCCAGTCTTGGAGATGTCTTTCTCAGCAGTGTGAAAATGGACTAATATGCTGCCAGTACTGGGACTGAAAATGAATGACACAAGGAAAAAGCTGGTGGTGAGATTTCTGTGGAGGGATGCTGCCTCACTGCTGCTGGTCCTGGAGCAGACACTAGGGAGTGGCTCTGGGATGCTCTAAGAAGTTGGAGCTAAAACAGCTGTGGCTCTCAGGGTGAAGTTGGCAGGAACAGGAAGACAGACAGGAAGTCCCACCTCCAGGCTCCAGAGAGTGCTTCCTATTGGCCAAAACTTACAGGAAGCCAAATGAGAATTGGAAAATAAGTTTTGTAAAGTCTCAGCTCCTGAATCGCAGAGCGGATTACAGTAGGTGATTTTGAGCTGAAACTTAATACATATTTAACAAAACAGATGTCAAAAGTAGTCATTGCTATGTAACTGTAGTGCTCTTTTCCATTTGCAGCTGATGATTGAACAACATGAGTCTAAACTGTGTAAATGCATTTGTGAGTGGATTTTTTTCAATAAAAGTTATGCTGAGTGTGCCTGCCTCTCCTGCCTCCCCTTCCACCTCCTGCACCACTTCCACTTCTGCCATTCCTGAGACAGCAAGATGAACTCCACTTTTTCTTTTTCCTCCTCCTCTGATTCAACCTAAAGATAGGGATGAAGACCTTTAAGATGATCCACTTCCACTTAATGAATAGTAAAGTTATTTTATCCTTCTCCTGATGTTGTTAATGACATTTTCTTATCTCTTCCTTACTTTGTTGTAAGAGTATAGTATGTAATATATATAATATGCATCATATATGTTAATTGACTCTGTTACCAATAAGACTTACTATCAGTAGTAGGCTATTAATTGATATATTTTGGGAGAGTCAAATGTTATACCTCTATTTTCAACTGAGTAGAAGGTCATCTCCCCAAATCCCTACATTGTTCAAGAATCAACTGTACTTTGCTGGCTGATACAACAGAATTTCCACAGAGGAGTTAAAACTGAAGTTGATCACTGCTCTCTATCTGAGGAGCAGACAAAATCCTGTATTTGCCATGTGCTGATCTGGTAGAAATTAATGCAGGCACACATGCAATTAAAAGTTTTCTAGTAGCCACAATAAGTAACATAAAATGTAAAATTCATTTTAATAACATATATTCCTTAATCTATCCAAAGATTAGCCCTTCAACATGTAATTATCATAAAAATATTAATAAGTTATTTTACTTATTTTTAAATTTAGTACTAAGTTTTCAAAATCCAGTGCCTATTTTATACTTTCAGCACACAGAAATTCATGTGCTGTTTTTTCATTAGAAATATCTGATCTTTGTTTAGACTACATAAAACTTAGTTTAAAAAGTTGATTTATTTATATATATTGTTTTAAACATAAAATTTTCCATTAATTAAATCAAGTATAAGTTTTTAAGATTAAAATTACATTAAAATGAAGTTAAAGTTTATTTCCTTAGTCCTAGCAGCTGTATTTCAAGTTCTCAATAGTCACATGTGGATGGTGTTAGCCGTATTAATGATCATAAATTTAGAAAATGTTAGAAAGGACAACTGGAGATGCACATATTTTAGACTCTTCAGGTAGGACACTAGAAAAGTAAGATGTCTTCCTCCTGGACGTTAGGGACTAAATACAGACATAATTCCCTGAATGGGAAGCCACAAAGATACTCATAACGTATGTTCAATTCCCTCATGAACTCTTGCATGTGGAATAACTTTTTCTTTCTTACCTTCTGAGGGATAACATTTTCTTTCTTTCTTACCTTCAATTACCTATTCATCTATTAATCCATCCACCTTTCCATCCATCTACTGATTCATCCAATTATTTTTTTCTTTCTGTCGAGGATCACTGAGTATCTCTTTACTAGAGACTATATCCTAGACACTATGCTAGGCTCCAAGAACAAGGATGGATATGACATAGTTGCTACAATTTGGTAGGTGTAGCTATCTACATAAACAAGATTTTGCAATTTGAGGTGATAATGTAGCAGAAGTGTGAAAAGATTACATGGTGAGAATAAGCATAAAGGAGTGACAAATTCTGCTGGTAAATGGAAAAGATGTTTCTGAGAGAGGGAACCGCAAGTGTGAATGTAGGCTGAAACACCAAGCTGTGCTTCAGTAATTAGGAGTAGTGTGGGTGGATTTGTGGGTGTGTAGAAGGGAGTGGAGGTGAAACCAGAAACATGAGCTGGAGCCTGAGTGCTGGAGTCTTGGGCAAGGTGTCTGAGTTCGCTCTCATGGATGGTATGGACCTTATGAAGAGGGTTGAGCAAGATCAGACAGGTGTTTGGAAAAGATTATTCTCCAGGGTAGTAATGGAAAGCAGCAACAATGAAACACTGAATGCTTACACCACTTGCTTGGGGCAAAACATGCTCCTGTGAGCTTTTCTCTGATATTTTCTGCGAATATTTTATTTAATGGATTTAATGGTTCATTCCTAGTATCTTGGATGCAATTATCTTGGAATGTGTTGTTTTTTGTATAACTTTTAAAAAAATGATTTACTATTGAGAACCACAGTACTTAGTAACTTATTCATGGAGTAGAAGCTACTGACCAAACTAAAAAGCACTTGGTATTGTTTCTTTTTATACCATCAGACATATTTGATTTTCTGTCATTTTTTCATAATCAAATTTGCTAAGAAAATCCCATTTAATATTCAGAAAACATTTTAAAGCATATACAATGTGTCAGTCACTGGGAACAGAGACATGAATAAGGCAAGCATAATTCTTGAAATAAAACTTAAATGGAATATAGACAAACAGGTAACCATGCAGGGTGTTCTAATATCTCTGTCCATTCATTCACTTAATTCATTGTCTTTGGTGGAAGAAAATGAGTTGTTTATTTAAAAAGAATTTTCATAATAAAGTATTCATCATAAGTGTATTGATCTGGTTACACACGGTATAAAGAAATGCCTGAGGTTGGAAAATTTATAAAGAAATGAAGTTTAATTGACTACCAGTTCTGCATGGTTGGGAAGGCCTCAGGAAACTTACAATCATGGCGTAAGGCAAAGGAGGAGGAAGTACCTTCTTCACAAGGTGACAGGAGAGGAGAAAGAGTGATGGGGGAGTGACCATACACTTTTGAATAATTAGATCTCATGAGAACTCACTCACTATCATAAGAACAGCATGGGGGAAACTATCCCCATGATTCAATTACCTCCCACCAGGTCCCTCCCTTGACATGCGGGGATTATAATTCTTGATGAGATTTGGGTGGGGACACAGAGCCAAACCTTATTATTATTCCACAGCTGGTCCCTCTTAATTCTCAAAGCCTTATCACATTTCAATACCAATTATGCCTTCCCAACAGTCTCCCAAAGTCTTAACCAATTCCAGCATTAACTCAAAAGTCTAAGTCCAAAGTTTCATCTGAGAGAAAATGAGTCTCTTCCACCTGTAAAATAAAAAGTAAGTTAGTTACTTCCAAGATACAATGTGGGTGCAGACATTGGGTAAATGCTACAATTTCAAATGGGAGAAATTGGCCAAAATAAAGGGACCATAGGCCCCATGCAACTACAAAACCCATCAGGGCATTCATTAAATCTTAAAGCTACAAAACAATCTCATTTGACTCCATGTCTTGTGTCCAGGGCATGCTGATGCAAGGGATGGGCTCCCAAGGCCTTGGGCAGCTCTGCTTCTGTGATTCTGCAGGGTACAGCCCCTGTAGCTGCTTTGATGGGCTGGCATTGAGTGTCTACACTTTTCCAGATGCACAGTGAAAGCCGGTGGTGGATCTACCATTCTGGAGTCTGGAGAACAGTGGCCCTTTTCTCACAACTCCACCAGGCACTGACCCAGTAGGGAATGTGTGGGCTCCAACCTCACATTTCCTCTGTGCATCGCCCTAGTAGAAGTGCTCCATGAAGGCTCTTCCCCTGCAGTAAACTTCTGCCTGGACATCCAGGCATTTCCATGTATTATCTGAAATCAATTTTGGAGACTTCCAAAGCTTAATTCATGTATTCTGTTCACCTGCAGGTCCAACACTGTGTGGAAGCTGCCAAGGCTTGGGGCATGCACCCTTTGAAGCAATGGACTGAGCTATATCTTGGCCTATTTTAGCCATAGCTGGAGCTGGAGCAGCCTTGACCCAGCGTGCTATGCCCTGAGGCTGTACAGAGCAGTGGGACCCAGGGCCTGGCCCACAAAACCATTTTTCCCTCTTACGCCTCTGGGGACTTGTGATGGGAGAGGCTGCTATGAAGATCTCTTAAATGCCCTGGAGATATTTTCCCCCTTGTCTTGGCTATACATGTTGGGCTCCTCATTACTTGTGCTCATTTCTGCCGCTGCCTTGAATTTGTCTATAGAAAATAAGTTTTTCTTTTCCACCACATGGTCAGGTGGCAAATTTTTCAAAGTTTTTCACTCTGCTTCATTTTTAAACATAAGTTTCGATTTCAAACCATCTCTTCATAAATGCACTTTCAGAACAAACCAGGTCACCTCTTGAATGCTTTGCTGCTTAGAAATTTCTTCATCCAGATACCATAACTCATCTCTCTCAAGTTCAAAGTTTCACAGATATCTAGGGCAGAGGCAAAATGCCACCAGTCTCTTTGCTAAAGCATAGTAAGAATGATCTTTCCTCCAGTTCCCAATAAGTTCCTCATCTCCATCTGAGACCATCTGAGCCTAGATTTCATCATTGTTCAACTCATTATCAGCATTCTGGTCAAAACCATTTAAGTCTCTAAGACGTTCTAAACTTTCTCACACCTCCCTGTCTTCTTCTGAGCCCTCCAAACTGTTCCAACATCTGCCTGTTATCCACTTCCAAAGTTGATTCCACATTTTCAGGTTATTTTTATAGCAGTGTCCCACTCCCAGTACCAATTTCCTGTATTAGTTCATTCTCACACTGCTATAAAGAAGTGCTTGAGACTAGGCAATTTATAAAGGAAAAAGGCTTAATTGACTCACAGTTCTGCAAGGCTGGGGAAGCCTCGGGCAACTTACAATCATGGCGGAAGGTGAAGGAGAAGCAAGTACCTTCTTCACAAGGCAGCAGGAGGGAGAGACAGTGAGGGGGGAACTGTCAAACACTTTCTAACCATCAGATCTCATGAGAACGCACACAGTATCATAAGAACAGCCTGGGGAAAATCATCCCCATGATCAAATTACTTCCCAACAGGTCTATCCCTGGACAATTCGAAGTGACTCTTGGGTGGGGACACAGAGCCAAACAATATCAATAAGAAAAAAAATATCAATTGAGCTGCCTAAATATTTAGCAAATGAATTAAATCTATGTTTCTATGTTTATAAATTTATCATTACAGACATTTCCTCTGAAAATCAACACCAAGTCTGGAATTTGCTTGGTAAAAGACTGAAAGACCTAGGCCCAGGGAGATCAGTGGCCTGTGGGCTCTGAAATGACTTGTATTGAAATGCTTGATTCTATAGATTAACATTTGTGTAACTCGAGTCAAGACGCTTCATCTCTCAGCGTCAATATGTTCTTTAAGAT